AATACTTCCTCTTCTATGAAGCCATCCCTGATCACCTTGGTGATCTTCCTCTTCTGAATCCCCTTACCACTTCTGTGGGGTCCTCAAGTCTCTCTTCTCTAAAACAGAGGTGATGATATTCGCTCACTGTGTAGTCATGGGCTCACATGAGATAATGCATTTGAGCGAGCTGAGCTAAACAAACCTAAGGCATTATTAATCGGTAGGTTTCACATGGTTTGAGCGAGGAGAGATGGTTACCAACTTTGCATTCCCAGTGCTGTACCAGGGGAAGATCTCAATACACTTTTTTGATGTGGATAAATATATAGGATGTATGTACCAGACAGTTCTCACAGAGGGAGAGGGGAGGTGATTTGATAGTTTGTAATCAGTCTGGGTTTAGTCTGAAGACCTCTTTAACGGTCTTTTACAGTGTGAGGCTCTTTCTTGCTCTCCTCCCCTGTCCTCCCACCTTTAGCTCCCCTGCTTTCTCGCCTCCCTCCCTCACCCCTTCCCCACTCCCTTTTCCTCTTTCCTTCCCCAGCCTTCTCTCTTTGCCCCTTCTCCAAAACCAACAGACTGGGGAGGGGAGGAAGCCTAATATCTGGGCCCCTGACTGAAGCCCACCTCTCAGGCTGCCACCTCGGTCCTTGCACACCCACACCACCAAATTTAGGGACTCCAGGAACAAATTACTCACCTCTGAGGCGGAACAAGAAGGCACCGCGCCGATTCTCAGATGTCTGAAATTCCACTGATAACCTGCAAGCTTCGCTGCGTTAGCTGTAGGCTGTCTCTAAATACCAAATACACGTTTGTATTTGAGAAGACATTAGAACATTTGTTGCTTAATAGCTCACAGTGAATGTGGTTTTCCTTTTCTGAAGCTCTCAAAAAGGGAGCTAGCCCTCGAGATTCTGGGTATGGGGTTGAGAAAGCAAAATATACAGAAAAGAAACTTCTAGAACTAGAGAAACTTTCCTAGTTCACAGTGAGGGAGCTTGAAAGAGGGGACAGGAGAAGACAGTGCTGCCTTCTGTTCAAGTTGTCCCTCCACCACCTCAGGTCTGTACAGGAAAAGCACTTGTCTGTCTTTCCAGAACTCATTCAATCCCACTTGTCATCACAGTCTTCCTCAGCCACTCTTGTCAGAAATGATCTTCCAGGGGCACCTGGCTGGCTCGGTCAGTAGAGCACACAACTCTTGATCTCGGGGTTGTAAGTCTGAGCCCCACATGGGGTGTAGAGATTACTTAAAAATAAAAAATATTTTTTTAAAGAAAATGACCTTTCATACAGCATTGTTAACTTTCTTAGGTGTGGTGGTATGTTCTGGTTGTGTAGAAGAAGGCCTTTAGTTTTAGGGGGTCCTTGCTGAAACATTTAGAAGTCAAATGTCATGTTATCTGTAACTTACTTTCAACCAGCAGCAAAAACTAGAGAGAGAGAGAGAGACAAAGCAAATATGGTGAAATATTAACGGTTATCAAGCAAAATGACTTCCAAACTCCTCACCCTCCTGCTTCACCTCCTCAGCATGCTCTTCTGGTTTTCCTTGTCTTTGGAAGTACAGTATGTACAATTATGAATGATAATAATTACCATGTGGTGAGTGGGTCCTGTATCCTGAGCGTCAGTGTCACACACTTTACATACATCATATATGATCTTACAACAGTCTTTCCTGGCTGATGTTTGTCTTCTCATTTCACAGGGAAGAAAAAAAGACCCAGAGTGGTCAGGAAATTAATTGGACTAACAGGCACTACTTAAATCTCTGTTGATCTGACTCCAAAGTTCATGCTCCTTCTATTACATCATGCCATCTCTTGAACTGCAGATTGTGTTCCAGAAACAGGAAGGCACATGCCTCTGCACACACACCACACACACACACACACACGCACGCATGCATGTACCCACACACACCACCCCTACAGAATTTTATGTAGAAAATTCTAGAAATTAATCTAGAAATCAAGAGGCCTTTGGGTGAGTCACTTCTCTCTAAGCCTCAGTTTCTTGATCTGTAAAATGAGAGAAGTTGATTTAAAAATGTCCAAAGTCTGGGGCACCTGGGTGGCTCAGTCAGTTAAGCGTCCGACTCTTGGTTTCGGCTCAGGTCATGCATGGTCTTGTAGTCGTGGGATTAAGCCCCACGTCAGGCTCTGTGCTCAGCACGGAATCTGCCTCAGACTCTCTCTTCCTCTCCCTCCCATTCACTCTCTCTCACTCTCAAATAAATAAATCTTTTTTTAAATTTATTTTTGAGGGAGAGAGAGAGAGCACATGCACGAGCAGGGGGGAGGGGCAGAGGGAGAAGCAGGCTCCTGGCTGAGCAGGGAGACAGATGCGGGACTTGATCCCGAGACCCTGGGATCATGACCTGAGCTGAAGGCAGACACTTAACTGACTGAGCCACCCAAGTGCCCAATAAATAAAATCTTTAAAAAAAATAAAAATATCCAAAATCCTTTTTATTTTTCTGACGGACATTCAATGATTTTGACTCTCATGAGGCTTTCTAGATATGTAAAGGGAAACATAAGAAAATTCTCTTCCCATTTAGGTAGGTGAACAGGTCCACTGAGAAAAGTTCGATCAGGGTCCTGGGATGAAGCCCCTCATCGGGCTCCCTGCTCCACGGGGAGCCTGCTTCTCCCTCTCCCTCTGCCACTCCCCCTGCTTGTGCTCTCTGTCTCTGTCAAATAAATAAATAAAATCTTAAAAAAAAATAAAAATTTTCTATTATCGGGGTAGCTTGCTGGCTCAGTTAGTAGAGCATGTGACTCTTGATCTCAAGAGTTGTGAGTTCAAGCCCCACACTGGGTGTAGAGATTACTTAAAAATAAAATCGGGCCACCTGGGTGGCTCACTTGGTTAAGTGTCTGCCTTCGGCTCAGGTCATGATCTCAGGGTCCTAGGATCGAGCCCCGCATCGGGCTCCCTGCTCAGCGGGGAGCCTGCTTCTCCCTCTCCAGCTCCCCCTGCCTGTATTCTCTCTCTCTGTGTCAAATAAATAAATAAAGTCCTTAAAAATAAATAAATAAAATCTTTAAAAAATAAATAAAATAAAATGTACAATTATCTTCTCAATAGCCTCATCTTCAAAATATGTGTCTTATTTCTCTCGGTTATATAAAAGTATACATGCTGAAAAACAAAAAGTTACCCCTGCCCATCTCATTGAAGGTCTTAAAGGCTCAAGAAAAGCTTTAGTAAATGTAAATGTCCTTTAGAGAATAAAATCTTGAACTCAGCTGAGAAATGATGATCTCATCTGAGAAAATAAAACAACCCTTCTTCTCGTAGAGAAAAGCAAGGGAAGGGAACTGACATTTTAGCAGGGAGACTCCCTTGTGCAATCACTGTGCTGGGTGCCTTAGTCAGTGTCTCCTTTAATTCCCATTTTGCAGATGAGAACGGTAAGGCTCAGGGAGGGTAATTCTCCCAAGGTCAGGCTCTCAAAGGGCCTGTGTTACGTGTGCCTGAGTTGTATCAGAAGCCTTCCATTAGGGAGAGCTGGAGGCTTCCATGACTGAATCTTGCACATGCACACAGAGAATGTTTGCACCACTGCTACCTTCCAGTACCTTCCCCCACCATCAAGTGCAGGGCGCATCTCAGACACCCCGTGGAGAGTTCTGTTGACCCTTGAATTGTGTGGATGCACTTACATGTGGATTTCTTATAGTACAGTACTGTACATGTGTTTTCTCTTTCCTATGATTTTCTTAATATTTTCTTTTCTCTGACTGTATTATAAGAATACAGTATACAGGGCGCCTGGGTGGCTCAGTTGGTTAAGCGACTGCCTTCGGCTCAGGTCATGATCCTGGAGTCCCAGGATCGAGTCCCACATCGGGCTTCCTGCTCAGCAGGGAGTCTGCTTCTCCCTCTGACCCTCTTCCTTCTCGTGCTTTCTCTCATTCTCTCTCTCTCTCAAATAAATAAATAAAATCTTAAAAAAAAAAAAGAATACAGTATACAATGTACATAACATACAGAATACATGTTAATTGACTATTTATGTTATTGGTAAAGTTTCCCGTCCACAGTAGGCTCCTAGTAGTTAAGTTTTGGAGGAGTCAAAAGTTATATATAGATTTTGGACTGCGAGGGGGGCCGATGCCAATAACCCTGCATTGTTCAAGGATCAGCTGTATTTCCTTACTTGCAGTTCTGTTAACGTTTCAATTCTCTGAGCTGTAATTTCCTCCTAAGTTAAATTTTGATGATCTCTTATGGTCTTTCTTAACAAAGATGAACCCTTTAATGCCTGGGAGCCCAGGGCTAGCTCTTCCCACTCATCCACCAGACAGCGGATACATGTGCTTGGCAGCCCCCTTACCCATTGCCAAGCCTGAGAATTCTATACAGAGCCCAGGCCCCTGTCTGCTTAGGCTACAGAACACAGGTGTTGGGGGGAAAAAAAAGCACAGAAGGAGAAATTTGAGAAATTTTCAGGGATCCCAGTGACCCCCTGAAGTCTGGGGAGCTGAGGTTCAGGGAAGACTAGAGGTGCATGCACTCTGATCTTGAGTTTCCCTGCCTTGGTAAAGTCATTTGTATTCACTGGGCGGCCCCCTCCCCACACTGCCGTATTTAATTCTGGCTACAGTATAAATAGAACGTGGTACTCTGGCAAAGCACACCACCCACCACTGTGTTCCTTCCCTTTTGGGACATCAACTAAATCTGAGCCTTTGATTCCCTCTAGTGGCTCAAATTGGCAACTTTCATAGATGTGTCTTTGCATTTATTTATTTAATGTATAGCGCCTACTGTATGCACCAAATTGGTGCTGGGTTCTCTGGCTTCGCCAGGGGCATGGGATGCTGGTTTCATTTGATCATTGTATCCAGTGGAAAGTGAGCAGGGGTAGAAAACATAGCTCCTTCTTCGAAGCTTAGCTTAGTGCAATGCAAACTGGCTAATCTCCCTGCTGTTCTATAGCTGCTTTATGGGGACTGAGGGAGGATGGGTTTTATATGGGTTATGCCTTAAAGGAGTTGTAGGACCTCAGGGCAGCTCCTTTATCCCTCGGCCTCAGTTTGCTCATGGGTGAAACGAGTACATGGGTTAAATTTAAGTCAATCCAACAACTGTTTATGGAGCACCTGCAGTTTGAGGGGCCCTGGGCTGAGAGCTTTGGGAATGTAGTGGTGAATTGGTACCTAATCTCAAGGAGCTTACAGGCTAATGGGAGAACCACATGTTGAGGAAGCCACATAAGACATAGGGCAGAAGCAGCATAGCATGGCTGTTGGAGTATGAGCTTTGCAGTGAGACAGATCTGGGGTTGAGCCCCTGATCTGTCCTTTCCTAGCTGTGTGATCTTGAGCAAGTTGCTAAGCTCCTCTTTAGGTTTCATCCATAGATTTGGATAATCACCGTTTCTTCATAGGGTTGAGTAATCAGTGTACAGCCAAACCATATGACATACTCCCTAAATGGTGGCCACTCTCATTGAGTTTCAAGTTTTAAACAGAAATAACAGAAACCTTATTGGGAATATCAGTAAGACCCTATGAGGGGCTTTTCCTGTTGGTTCTGAAGGCCCTTTCTTATGCCCCACAGATCTCTGTGGTCTCCATTGTTTGCCATGGAGCTTGGGAATCCACCTGCTGCTTCTCTTAGGGCGATGCCTTTGAGGGTCCAACCCTGCAGTGTCAACCCAATCTGCCCCCCTGTTTAGAGGGAACTACAGTCTCCCCTGCTCCCTACTTCCTCCTTTCAGGTCCTTTTCCTTTCTACAGATTTACTGCTAATCTATCTTGGGAAATGAACAGGGACTAAGAAAGGTAGCTTATGTGCTTCTGTGAGCCATGATCCTTGATCTTTAGGCTTAAAACCCTCTGAAGTGGCAGAGTGAGTGCTCCTCAGGAGAGAGGACTTCACCAGAAACCCTGAAACTTGGGGCTGTTCCAACTTGGAGGTTGTATGATTCTGTTACCTTGTGAACGTAGCATTGGAACATTGTGAGTGGCTTTTCATGCTGAGCTCCTTTATTACGTGCAAGGAGACGAAGGAGGATCTTAGAGGACACGTTAATGCCAGACACATCATACCTAGAATCCAGGCGAGGTTATTTAACACCGTGGATTTCATAGTCCACGGTGTCCGAAATGAATAGGAAGGAGAGAAGGTGAGCGAGTCTGGACCCTAGGCTTGCTGACAAGATACCCCTGGAACAAGATGAAAATTAGAGGTAAAGAAAGCCAAAGTGGCATTTCAACTAAATCTGAGCCTTTGATTCCCTGTTGGCCAAAGGGATACTGGATGGGTGGAGGCACGGGATCCAAATGTAGTAACTTGGAATTTCACTTTGGATAGGAAGGGTTGCTTCATATTTTGAAGCCACGTGGGATGAGACCATAGAGACTGGAAGACAGAAGTTGGGGGAACAGAGGATGAGTGTACCTAAGAAAAGCAGGAACGGCCTATAAAATCCCACTCACTCCCTGAGGCATCCTGCACTTACCTGTCAGTCTGTGGGGGTCGGCTGTCTCTAAGGTGGCTCAAGGGGTGAAGTGATATTTGGAGCCTTTTCTGGGGAGGATGCCAACCCCTGCCTTTCCTTTGGTTTCTGTCCTTTTGCAAGCCGGTGCTGGTAAAGGAGAGAAAGTTAAAAAAAAACACACAGTTGTTGACCTGAGTAATTTCATCATCCATAAAAACGCAAAAAGGCAGGAAAGACAGGCATTGCTAAGAGTATAATTCGGGGGGCTAAAGAAGATAATGATGAATTCAGTTAAAGGAGGAGCCAGTGGGAGGTTCCAGGACTTCTGGTACCTCTGGTCTAGGATTCTTCCAACTCCTTGATTTGCCCCTTGCCCACAGGAACACCCAGTAATTATTTGTTGTAATATTTGCTTCCCACACATAGCTATGCATTTCTACATTACTCATTAGAGGCTCTCTTCCAGTTTCCTACTCTGTTGGAACCTTGGGGACTCACACCGAGATCAAGAGAGTGGCAGAAGAAAAGGTCACTTTGCCCTGTCACCATCAACTGGGGCTTCCAGAAAAAGATACCCTGGATATCGAATGGCTGCTCACCGATAATGAAGGGAACCAAAAAGTGGTAAGTATACAATTGGCCAGAGCCCTCCCCCCAGCCCCACCCCCTGCTCTTCCCCTCATCCTCCCACAGTTGTCTTTCCTCAGTCCGCCAGTTTTCTGTAGGGTCGGAAAGGGTTAGAGTTGCTCTTTCATCTGGCTTATATTTGAAAGACTCTAGAGACAAAAATTATAAACGAGGAATGGTGTTTGGGTCTTAAAGATAAGAGATTCTGTGTTCTTTGGGCAAGCAAGAAAGCCACCTATCATTTGCCCAAGGAGGGAATCTGTGCTATTAGTGTCTTTCCCAAGAAGGGAGCTAAGATGCAGTAGCTTGAGTCCCAAGCCTAGTGGCCAGAACCCCAAATCTATACTCGGAAGCCTGTTCCTCTTCCTCCTCTGAGACCATTATCGCCTGCCCATGTTTAAGCTTTGCACAAAATCATGATGTTCAAGCTCTGAGATCATGTAATATGACAAACAACATATGATGCAGGACATGACTGAAAATGTTTATCACATATATAATTGGCCAGCAAAAGAATTGGTACTGGTTCTGGGGTTGGAAAATGAAGGAGCTGGCTCTGGGTCTTCTGTGCTCAGGATGCTGAGGTCCATTGGTGCTTATGGGCTTTGGGGGCAGAACTCGTAGGCTTTGCTCCCGATGATCCACAGGGCTGGTCTCTGTTGAGAGTGAGAAGTAAGTAGCTACTATATCATCCTGTCTGCCTTGGCTGCATTCAGCTTTCCTCAAGCTGGGTTTTCTAGCATAATTCTTTTCATTCCATTTACCCAATGACTTATTTTTAAAAATCTTTTGGTTGAGGGGCGCCTGGCCGGCTTAGCTGGTGGAGCATGCAACTCTTGATCTCGGGGTTCTGAGTTCGAGCCCCATGTTGGGTGTAGAGACTGCTTAAAAAATAAAATATCTAAAAACGAAAGAAGACAGCATTTTTGGTGGAAAGTTTTGTGATTTTAAAAAGTCACATAGAATAAGCCAGGGAAACTGACTTTAGACTTTTCTTCCTTTTCAAAACCTTACCTCTTGCCCTACTAAAAAGTGAAAGGTTGTCCTTTCTTCTTCTCTGTCCATACCCCTGATTTCTTAAGATGGTTTGTGCTGGAAGAAGCTAAAGTTTTCACTAAAATAAAACCCAGGATAATTGTTGGATTTCAGCTCCTACATCACTTTGTCATTTTGATACTGCTTGTCATTTTGTTCTCATAGTACATCATCCTGAGACTCTCTGTTCTCCATAGAGCAAGGTCACCTTAAACTGAGCATACTTATTCCGGCAGATTCTTAGTCAGTAGTAGACATGATACTTTCTGTTCTGAATAAAGTAAATAAAAGCTGTGTTCCTCTCACAAAAATTTAAAAAGAGACTCTACTCATCTAACTTTCATGCAGGTGTTTTCATTTAAACTAAAGAAAAAAAGAGATGCTTGTTTATGTAGCCAAGTGAATATAAGGCTTAAAAGTTTATTGCTAAAAAAAAAAAAGTTTATTGCTGACAAAAGCAGGCCACTAACATGGCTTTAAGCAGCCACAGTTCTTACTTGTCTTTAATTAACACTCCAAAGTAAGGATCGTGATTTATTCGGTCATTCAGAGCACATGGATTTATTTAGCAAATACCGTATGCCAAGCTAGGCACTGGGATACAATAGTGAAGGAGATATCAAAGTCCCCGCCTTCCTGGAGTTTACAGTGCAAACCCATTCAGTAATTAAAAAAACCCAAAAAACAAAAAGCAAAACCAAACTTTTTTTTTTTTTTAAGTAGAGAGCTCTAAACATTAAGCTATGTTCCAGGTTCCAGTCTGTTTAGCACATAATATCTCATTTAACTTAATCCTCATAACTAGGATTATTAGTCCCATTTTTCACATAAGGAACTCCATACAGTGTGTGCCCAGACACAACACACAAAGTGAGAAAGGGGCTTAAGGTCACCCATTTTGCTGTTTGAAATGAGGCACTGTGATATCAGTACCTGGGCTGTTAATTATCAGCGATGTTACCTTCATAAATAATTTGAAATTATAATCCGTGTTGTGTAGAAAATAAGGAGAATGCGGGAAGAAAGTTATTCCAGACAGAACCAATTGTGCCAAGGCCCTGATGCTGGAAAAAGCTTGGCACTATTGCAAGTTCTAAAAGATCAAAATCAATTTATTTTATTTATTTATTTTCATTTTTTATTTTTTAAAGGGTTTTTAAAATTTATTTATTTATTTATTATCTATCTATTTATTTATTTATCAGAGAGAGAGAGAGCACAAGCAGGGGGAGCTGCAGGCAAAGGCAGAGGGAGAAGCAGACTCTCCGCTGAGCAGGGAGCATGATGGGGGCTTGATCCCAGGACCCTGGGATCATGACCTGAGCCAAAGGCAGACGCTTAACCAACTGAACCACCCAGGTATCCCTCAAAAAATCGATTTAGGTTAAATTGAGTCACTACTGGATTCCCACTATCCACATACTCAGTCACAAAGGAGGTAGTTGAAGAGATAAATGGGTGAAGAGACAACTTGAGAACTAAGTGACAGAGATCATGATGGAGATAAGCACAGTGTTCTAGATGAATATAAAGGAGGCGCCATTGACCAAAAGTAGTTGGAGAAGGGGAAAGGTCAAGGGCAGCTCCGGTAAGAAATCACAGCTGATCTGAGTGCTGATAGAAATTTCCTCATTGCCCCGAGGAAATCACAAGAGTGTAGACACAAAGGCTGGAAAGTTCTGGGAAATCATGAGCAGCGAGCATAGGTGGAGTACAAAATGTGAGCTTACAGGGGTTGCAGGACCAGAACATGAGAGGTCTTATATAACAGGTTAGGGAGCTCAGATACTTTCCTATATCGTCATGGAGTTCTTGAAGGATTTTAGGAGTGACAGGGACATAGATACATCTTAGGTGATCACTCCAGCCCTGTGCAATGGCACACTGATTTAAAGGAGGCTTGAATAGAAGCAAGATCAGCTGAACAGTTTCAGACTATACAATAGGGGCTTACACTATATTCATGGGTAGCTGGAATATCAAGATGGGCGTAATATACAAATTTAGTGGGTAAATTTGCCACCATGTTGGGAATGAGTGAGGGTGAGAGAGGAAATACGGGGGGGGGGGTGCCTGGGTGGCTCAGTTGGTTAAGCATCTGCCTCTGACTCAGGTCATGATCCCGGGGTCCTGGGATAGAGCCCCACGTCGCGCTCCCTGCTCAGCGGGGAGCCTGCTTCTCCCTCTCCTGTTCCCCCTGCTTGTGCTCTCTCTCTGTCAAATAAATAAATAAATCTTAAAAAAAAAAAAAAGAAAAGAAAAAGAAAATACAGGAGGGGCTGGACTGGATGTGGTGCCTAAGATAGGCTAGCCAATGACCCGGACACGAAGGTTAGCCTTGCATTTCAATCCAAGCGGAATTGGCTCCCTCCCTTTTGTCTAGGAGGCTCAAATATGCAGGAACATTTGGGGGCAGGTAGGCAGTTTGGGGAATATTTGAATCTCAGCCTAGGTAGATAGCATGTCCACTAGAACTCTGGAGCTTTCCTCCAGGTTCTAGGGATGGAAACATAGTTAATTTCCAAAGTCTGAGTGAACATCTCCTCCAGGGTCAGTCACAAACACACAACTGAAGACTTTCCCCTCTATTTTTTGGATGGAGAAATTAGGGCAGAGAGGTTCTCATTCCCATGCCAAACCCCTCTTGCCACCTCCTTTCTCCCTTTCCCCCTTTGATACTGAGGAAGAAAACTCCTGATCAAGGGGTTGAGCTTCCAACTCTTGATTTTGGCTCAGGTCATGATCTCAGGGTTCCTGGGATTGAGCTTTGCATCCGGCTCCGTGCTGAGAGTCTGCTGGAGAGGCTCTGTCTCCCTCTCCCTCTCTGCCCTTCTTCCTGCTCTCATTCTGAATGAATGAATGAATGAATGTATGAATGAATAAAATCTTGGAAAGAAAGAAAGAAAAGAAAAGAAAAATCTTGGATCAAAAACAGAGAGAGAAGCCTACATCTATTTTGGTTTGAGGCAGGTGCATGATTGCCAGGCAGGGTCTGACATAGCAGAGCACCTGCCAGAAAGCTGAGCTGCTCCATCTGCCCCATAAAGTCTTAACAAATTGTCCCGCCTCCTCCTCTCTTTAAAACTGCGTCCGCCGTTCACGGGTCCACCAGGAACATCACGAGACACATGGCCCCACAACAGCTGCAATTCATGTGCTTCATTTTTTGTTTGTTTGCAAAAGGATTACATTTATGTTCACTGTTCTCCCATCACCGCTCGCAGCCTGCCGAGCAAGGGCTTAGTCTCAGCTCTACATTTCCTAGAATTAAAACCACAACTAAGACAAAGACACGCACGTACGTGATATTCGATGTGCCTCTGAAAAAAACTGAGCCAAATCGCAAGGCTGGAACTGAGCCCCAACCTGTGTTCTAAATGGGTGTGAAATGCTCATATTAGGCAATGGTTATTTAATTATAGTAAGATTATTTTCGGGTTGTACAATGTCTGCTTTCCAAAGATGTTAAATACTTACCTTAGTTGTCCCCCCACCCCCTTATTTCCCCCATTAAATAATGGGACAAGATTTGGGGGAAAGGGGAGAAAAGCACTCGGGAGTCAGCCCTACCTGTATGTACTAAGTGCTGTGGTGGGGATATGTCCAAAGGGCTGAGGCTTGCAGGAGGAAGTCAATGATTCTACCCAGGAAAGGCTCTAATACACAGAAGGTAGGCCTTGAGCTTGATCTTGAGGCCTGTGTAGGTGTTGTTTAAGCCAAAATAAGAGAGGCATTTCAAAAGGAGAGAAGACTGCATGATCCAAGACAAAGACACATCAGAGGGTGTTGTTCAGAATCAAGGGACATCAAGCTTGGGGACGAGGCTATGCAGAGATGCGAGGACAGGGACCAAAGATGAGGCATAGTCCAGGCTGCACTGGCCGTAGGCACCACCTTGAGAGAGCTGAGCTTTAGTCCACAGAGTGCACAAGAGATGGAAAACAGATGGAGGCTTTCAGCTA